TACCGTTGATTAGCCTATTGGTCTGTCAGCTGTACAGTTACCGTATAATGTGAGCTCCAACACTTTGTCTTAAATTTACTGGTCTTTTGCTTGTATTTTAGTTTTCAATTTTATGTTTTGATGGGGTGTATATATCTGTGTATGTGTCTGTGTTTTGTGCTTTTTAAAATCCAGTTTGCTTGTTTGTTTGTTTTATTTGGTAGTTTGTTTTTTAAAGAGAGGAAGAAAACATGCAGTTGGATGGATGTAGAGTTGAGAAGGATCTGGGAGGAGATGAGAGAAGGCAAACCGTTAGGTTTCCATCACCCAGAGCTTTGGCAAAATGTCTAAGCCACCACAAATGCTGGCACTTCTAGGTTCCAGTGCCCCGCATGGGCCGTCAAGCAGTCAGGCAATTTACATAGCCACCCGGGGTCCTTTAACCTATGGGACTTATGTGCAGCACGATCATGTGATCTACGTATGCAGTCCCTGTGCCTCTCTCTGGCCCCCATCTATTTCTCTCTCTATTTCTCTCTCTATTTCTCTCTCTATCTCTCTCTCTCTCTCTCTCTCTCTCTCTCTCTCTCTCTCTCTCTCTGCACCAACTTCCTCAAACCTGCATACACGTCTTTTTCATAATAAACTCTTAAAGTAGGTTTCATTGTGTGTTTCATGATCCGTTCTCGCTCACGTCCCATAATTTCAGAAACCATGATCAGAATATAGTATATGAAAAATATTTATTTTCAACAAAAACTATACTTAAATATTTTATGCATTTCAGGCAGAAATCATACAGTGAAAAATAAAAAGGAGAGTTAGTATTCATGCATAACACAAAGCAAAGGGGAGAAAGTAGACGATACGGATGTGAATAAGTCTATGGAAACTAGCTGGAGAAGTGATGCTGCCTTGACTATACATTTAGAAACTCAGCCTCCTGCCAAGGCAGGTAAGAATTTAGAAGTATCTAATCTATAATCCCAGCCTCAGGCCTCCATTTTTGGAAGCCCCCTCCCCTGAGTCTATCAAACCTTGACCCCTCCCCAGGAAAGGTCAAGATCACTCCCACAGGCTATTTAAACTGCTCATCAGAAAATAATCTGTGGTCTTCCCTCTTCCTCTTCAGTGTTCCTTGGTCATGTTGGTGGCTTTCCGTCCTCCACCCCCACCCCCTCAGGCTACCCTAGAGCACAGGCATCAATTAAACCTGGTTATTTCCATATCTAGGTAACAGCTTCGCATGCTGAGGCATTTTCCTTATTATTTCCTAAAAAAAAAAAAAAATCATGTATTCCAGAAGTGATTTGCAGTAGACAAAAGGATGTGTACTGGATGGATACAGAGACCAAGGTATCTTTATAAGTGACTTGAACATAGCCTCTTGCTATGCTAATGAAGGAAGTATTTCATCTGGGCTCTGTATCTAGTCAATCCCACAACCTACTCCTCCTCAGAATTCTCAGGTCCTAGTCAGACCTTCTGATGAAAAGGCAGAAGGATCAGACAAAGCAATTTACACTTAACAGGATTCTAAAGCATGAACTATTTCTACGTTACAGATCACTAAACATCTCTTAAAGCAGTAGTTCTCAACCTGTGGGTCAAGACCACCATGGGAGGTTAGATGATCCTTTCACAGGGGTTACCTAAGATCAGTTAAAATCACAGATGTTTACATTATGACTCATAACAGTAGCAAAATTACAACTATGAAAAAGCAATGAAAGATTTATGGTTGGGGGTATTAAAACAAGGGTCAGAACATTAGGAGGGTTGAGAACCACTGTCCTGAAGTGTTTATAAAACATATTTCTTCAGTTTTGCAATTTTGTGAAACAGGGCCTCACTATGCAGTCCAAACTAGTCTTGAACTCATATTTCCCATCTCTGCCTTGGAGACCTCCCACACCCAGTTCTCTTGGACAATACAACTTAATCAGCCAAGCTGGGACAAGGAGGAAGTCAGTAAGGTATCTCCTTCAACCACATGATCTCTTTTAAATTTATCAGGGTTTAAATAATTTAAGTGCCATCTACTTTACTTGTCCCCTTTACAAATACAACTAGAAATGCCTAAAACAGGGGTGGAGACCAAAGAGCAACAAACTTAATAATTCTAAAATTACTACATATATGATAAACTTCTTTAGCTGATTATGTATTATGCAATGAAGACTATTAGACGCTAAAAACATAAACCCTGAAAACCTCATGAGCACCAACACAAGATTTTTCGACAGGTACCATCTTCCCTGATGAAATCTTAAAATATATATAGATAGTCAAGGTCTAAATGCAAGTGATGGAACACCTATCATGTTCTAATTATGTATATGGAGTCCAGGAAATTCTGGAGAAATATTGGGTTCCCAAACTCACAATCACAGTTCAGTCACAGTGGAGCCAGATATTAAAACAGTATTTTTAATAAAATGATCCACTCAGATATAACTTCCATGCTAGAGGGAATTATTGATATGGAGCTAAATGAGAAGTTCCAATCATATATAAATAATCTATTGAGAATAAACACTACATAGAGATGATAATGTCTCCCATGCAAAATACTACAACTGACTTCCACAACAGTGTGAAAACTTGTAGAACAAAAAACCAAATAACTATAGTTAACCTTTTCTATACTCTGGAAACCTTTCTCAAAGGGAAATTTCAGGACACAGTGAAAATAAAGGCAGCAAGGCAGCGCTAGCATGCTTGAAGCTAAGGAGGGGCTGCACCTTTCTCCTCATGGTTTTCCTCTGCCTGCTTCCCTCTCCCAGAGCAGTCACAAGGGAAGAAAATTAATGGTAAAAGTCACGGTATCTGGATTTGAAAGTGATACATAGTCTTAGAAATTCATGATGAAATTCACACAATAAATTTCATATTAAAAACTAATGAGAATTTAACTATCTAAACCTAGTGCTTAGACATGCCATACATTTAGAAATCAGTTGTTTCTTTTCAAAGAACCACGGCTTATTATTGTTGAGAAAAGTAGAGAAATCAAAGCAGAAGAACACTGTTATACTTAAAACACTATTCCCACTTAAAAGAGAAAAAAAAGAACCTACTATCCTCATGTTTTTCAAAAGGACTGCACAAATCAATTCTCTATTAACTCAAAGACTTTTTCCCCCACAGACAGGATTTCTCTCTGTAGCCCTGACTGTCCTGGAACTCCTACTGCAAACCAGGTTGGCATTTAACTCACAGAGATCCACCTGCCTCTGCCTCCTACAAGCTGGAATTAAAGGTATGCACCAGCAATACCTGGCTCAAGACTTTAGACACAGATTCCTACATTTGCTTTTACGTGATAATCATATTGACAAGTGTTCTACAACAGGCAAAGCAGGCAGCCTAGGGCGGGTGATAAAATTACAGGGAACATTTCCCCCAAGGAGTCACTGCTGCAAGCTCCTGATTTCTTTATTACTATTTTCAAATACTTATTGGACTGTAAATATATTTTTCAAATAATGTTCTCTCTAAAATATACAGACACTCACTGTATTATAACCACAAGTGAACGCACTGGACACAGAGTGTTGAAATAATAGGAGTGGAGGGGCTGCATCCCCCGCACCCGGCAGCCCACATGGCTAGCTTAGCTTATGCCCGAAATAATTACACGGACACTGTATTCTTTTAAACACCACTTGGCCCATTATATCTAGCCTTTTCTCGGCTAACTCTCGCACCTGGACTAGACCATTTCTTACAATCTGTGTAGCCCATGATATGGCTTACCAGGAATGATCTTAACCTGCATCTGCCTGGAGTGGGAAAATCATGGCGACTCACTTCACTCAGCTTCTTTCTCCCAGCCTTTCCTTCTGTTTACTCCACCCACCTAAGGGTGGGCCTATCAAATGGGCCTAGCAGTTTCTTTATTGCTTAACCAATGATATCAACAGATTGATATATGACACTCCCACATCAACAGAGCTTACTACCTTTAACATGAAATAAGAGAGTTAAAAAAGACTAATTCCTGTGTTATTTTAATCTAAACTTCAATTTGTTAACGGAATATTTAATTGTCCTGATTTCATAACAGAGTAATAGCTTACTTCAATTTTTCTAAAATCACAAAGTTAGCACACATTTGTGACAAGTGGATCATCAATTTACTTAAGAAACTCAATATGCAGCATTTTGACGATTTAGGAAGTCTATAACAAAAGTATTCTATAGGATTTGGCTTAACTCTTAGTATGATATTGAGGTAACAGAAAACTGAACACATCCAAATATTTATCGTGACACTGTAGTTGTGTATCCAAGATGTACAACTTTAATTATAAGATGTACTGTCATTTTTAGAAAATGGATACACAGACACACATACTATTTCTACATACCCTTTCTACCTTAAATATTTTATACAAGGTGACACTTTTTCTGATGAATATTTCTCATTGCATCTAAAAGGAACATATACTTTTTGATAATTGGTTGTTTATAACTTAAGAAAGAGACATAAGAAAAGCAGCTGAACACGAAAACACCACTAGACTAGAAAAATTACTTCTGAAATATTACATTTTTACCTTCTGCATGTTTGTTTTAAGCTTAGAACATTTTATTTGTGGGCATCAAAACACTTTTTAAATGCCAAAAACATTTACTTATTCTATTTTTCCTCACCAAACAGATTATTCAGTAAGTTTCCTGTAATGTCTACCCTCATTAGAGAAGGAAAGTAAAGCAGCCGTGTTTTGTTTCTGGTCACAATTATTCATTGTTGATGACTGTATGCTATAATAGTTAAACTCACAGTTCATACAGTTAAACAAAGAAAGTGTTCATTTCAAAGACATTTAAACCTCTATGTGCTCAACAATCCTAAATTTTCCCACATTACTGCAAAATAATAATCATCACATAAATAAGGTAAATAATGACAATAATAAGATTATGCTTAGAATATACTTCTGGAAAAGACAAATTATAATATGCAATAAAACAGAACTATAAAATGCCCCCCAAACAAAGGAAGTTTCACTTACATCCACAGCTCTCTTAATAAAAGGTATCTGTGTGCCACTGTCCAGATCTTCATTAATAATTAGCCTTCTAGCCCACTGACCTGCCCTGACAACACCACTACCATGAATTAAAACCATCAGTTTCTGTGGATTTGTCAAAGCATCCTCACTCATAAAGATAAAACTCTTTGGTTCACTTTCAGTGGCATCTACCTGTAATCAAAAAAAATTAAATAATAAATAACATGTTTCTAGATCAAGCATACACACAATGAGAAAACAACTAATGGCTACTACAAATTACTGAATGATTATTATAGAATTTTTAAAAAAACATTAAAATAGGAGAAAGATAGTCAAGAAAATCTAGCAATTACATATTCAGTGGACAAGCATCAAAAGAGTGATTTAAATATAAAAATACATGAAAAAGAATTAAAATATATATTCCTACATCTTATTATATATTTATTATTGTATTGCCATCTTAAATTGAAATAATTAATCTTTAAAATCTACCTGTCATTCATATAGTAACTGTTTTTTTCACCCACATTTACTCACAATCTATTTGAGGAGTCACTAATAAATAACCATCAAAAATGATAAAATTACATTTAGATAAACTCAAGCTATAGGTTTATACTGCATGTAGTTTATAATTCTGTAACTAAATCACATTGCACCTATGATAGAAAACAGAAAACTCAAACTGGAATATATAGCTATTTAAATAGCCAAAGCACTGCAAACATTCAAATTGCAAACATGGGCACACACAACAGTAACATGTACATTCTGACACCATATCTATGTATCACTTACTTATGGATTACTACTACACAGGTGGGCAGCTAGATTTCAAAGATACAAGAGATATTAAGAAAAGCCAATTTCTGAACCTTTTATGAGATATGTATAGCAACCTCTGTGGTATTCTACATTGTAATGGCCAGTACTCAGAATGGAAGCCAAATACAACCAGGTTAAAACCAGAATTGACAACTAGTCACATGCCCTCCGCCAACAAGATCACACATAAAAAATCAGTCTACACACTGTATATACTGTTCACTCCAGGAACAACAAGTGTTCATACAATTAACAAAGTTACAACAGCACTCACATACAACTCCACAGAATGCTCTGGAATTCAATATAAAATTTAAAACTCTAAATTTTTCAAGTCATTCACAACACATAGGAATAGAAAAAAAACCTCTGCTTTTAAAACAAGATTGGTCTCATTATCTGATTCTGCTATTTGTGTAAACAGAACACAAAGAGCAACTGGTTTAGTAGGAATAGAATGAGTTGAGCTTAAGAATAGTTACTATTGTTCAGTAACGCCTTCCATGTCTACAATAAATTCAAATGTTTTACCATGAATTCTCTAGTCCCTTTCCCTGTCTTATTCTCCTTCATAGCACATATGGTAATCAAACACAATGTAGTGTAGTCTTTCTTTCATAGATAGATGATAGAAAGGTAGATAGATAGACAGACAGACATAGATGATAGATGTGTGCATGCATGCACATGTGTGTGTTCACACTCATTCATCCTCTACTCTCTCCCCTACAAAGTAATTCTAGAAAAATTAACATTTTGTTTTGTTTTGTAATTTTGTTTTTTCAAGACACGGTTTCTCTGTGTAGCTTTGGTGCCTGTTCTGGAACTAGCTCTTATAGACTGGGCTGGCCTAGAACTCATAGAGATCTACCTGCCTCCCAAGTGGTGGGATTAAAGGTGTGCACCACCACTGCCCGGTAACATTTCATAATTTATATTTAGCTACATTCTAGGTCTAGTTCAGGGCCTAGCATCTTATAGGTACTCAGGAAATAAAGAACAAACTTTTGAAATATGAAATCTTACTATTGGTAATGATATCCTTTAAATGAAAAGAATTTAAATAGTTCAGAGCATTCATATCTAGAATACACAAAACCTATAGAAAGTCTCAACAAAAAAAATAAATTTTAAAATGTGCTACAGATTTGAATAATGAGTTCTCAAAAGAAGACATTAAAAATGGCTGACAATGAACACCAGCAATCCAGTCAAAGAGAGGGAAGAGGGATTATATGAGTAAGAGGGTAAAGATCATGACAGGGAAATCTACGGAGACAGCTGAACCAAGTTCTTGGAAATTTACAAACTTTAGACCCACAGCTGTGGAGCCTGCAAGAAACCAAACTAGGCCCTCTGCATGTGAGAGACAGTGGCGAAACTTGGTCTATCTTAGGGGCCCCTGGCAGTGGGATGAGGATCTATCCCTGGTACATGAGCTAAGGATCGGAGCCTATGATGGGATGCCATGTGCTTAGCCTTAATGCAGGGGGAAATGAACTAGAAGCTTCCTCCCTGCTGGCTTGCTTTCAGAATCCTGAAAGACACTGTTCAAGCTCTTGAGGAGGAAATGGCATTAACCATATTAACCAAGAATAAGCCCTATGAAGTGTGGTGCTAACCTTATAGGCAAGATGTTCCCATGGGGATTAAAAATGTGTGAAATTTGAAATACAGTAGAAGACAAAACTGAAGACAAACATTGCCCAGAGAAATGTCTGAGAAGAGCACTGCTCACAGTGAACAGAAAGCTGACTCTGGGCAGGGCAGTGGTGGCTCACGAATCCCAGCAACGCTGGGGAGGCAGAGGCAGATGAATCTCTGTGCGTTCGAGGCCAGCCTGGTCTAGTTCCAGGACAGGCTCCAGAGATACAGAGAAACCCTGTCTTGAAAAACCAAAAAAAAAAAAAAAAAAAAAAAAAAAGGAAAGAAAAAAAGAGAACTGACTCTGAAAGTCATAAATACAATTTCACCTGTATAATTTAGGGCTAAATTTACAGAACAAAATATCTGTATGAATAAAATAGTTTTTCCTCACTACTTCAATAGTTTGAAAATGATTACAATAAAGATGTTTATCTGCAAACACTGATAAGCAACTGAGCTAAACCTTAAAAAAAAAAAAAAAAAACACAAAGGCCATGCCAATACACTTTAATGTTCATGCCACCAGGTCAACACCAAATAAACTTTAGTGTTCAACAGCTCATTGACGAAGTCTTCTAAGGAGACAAGGAGTGGTATTTCACAGAAAAGATGTGTGTAGTAAAGTAAAACAACATTTTATAGAGAAGTCATTAAGGCCATTCACAGCTCTAACAGCCTCCATGGGCAGGAGATGGCCCAACTGAGAGCATTCTGTGCTTGTTATTCTCCTACTTCCCTAGGTGCTGTCACAGTAAACGTGGCAGGGGAAGGGAGCCTCTACTTCAACTATGAAATAAAACTTACTTATTAACAGGGAAAAATCTGCTAATATTCTTTTAGGCAGTTTGGATGCTCAACTTACTAGACCTGGATGGAGGTGGGGGTTCCTTGGACTTCCCACAGGGCAGGGAACCCTGATTGCTCTTCGGGCTGATGGGGGGAGGGACCTAACTGGGGGAGGGGGGGGGGAAATGGGAGGTGGTGGCGAGGAAGAGACAGAAATCTCTAATAAATAAATAAATTTTAAAAAAAATTAATTAATTAAAATGTAAAAAAATAAAGAAAGAACATTCTCTTAGAAAACAAACACCCAGGTTTCTTGTTAGCCCCATACTGGTATGTCTTTTCTTGTTCTTTGTCTCTTTCCTTCCCCATCCTGACCATCCAGTTCCCTCTAGTTCTGCTAATCCCTCCCCTTCTCTCCTCCTTCTCCCCTTTTGTCTTTCCTTCTCCACCCTCCCCCCACAGGCTCCAAATTTTCTCAGGAGCTCTAGTCTGTTTTCCCTTCCCCAGGGAATATATGTATGTTTCTCTTAGGGTTCTCCTTGTTACTTAGCTTCTCTGGGATAATGGACTATAGGCTCCCAATCCTTTGCTTCACAGCTAGTATTCACTTATGAGTGAGTACATACCATGCTCATCTTTCTGGATCTGGGTTACCTCATTCAGCATGGTTTCTTCTAGTTTCATTCATTTGCATGCAAATTTCAAGATGTTATTGTTTTTTTTACCACTGAGTAGTACTCCATTGTGTAAATGAAGCTAGCAAGAAATCTGGCACTAGAGAAATTCCCAGGAATCCATAAGGATGACCCCAGATAAGATCCTAGGAAATAGTGGAGAGGGCTCCCGAACTGGCCCTGTCAGATAGTCTGATTGATGACTATCTTAAATGTCACCATAGGACCTTCATCCAGCAACTGATGGAAACAGAGGCAGAGACCTGCAGCAGAGCACTGAACTGAGCTCCCAAAGTCTGGTTGAAGAGTGGGAGGAGGGAGAAAATGAGCAAAGAGGCCAAGACCACAAAAGGGACACCCACTGAAACAGTTTACCTGAGCTAATGGGAGCTCACCAACTCCAGCCCCACAGGGAAGAAACCAGCATACAATGAAACTAGACCCTCTGAATGTGGGTGACAGTTGTATGGCTTGGAAAGACTGAGGGGCCACTGGCACAGGCACCAAGATTTATCCCTACTACATGTATACTGGATTTTTGGAAAACCCATTCTCTTTGGATGGATACCTTGCTCATCCTAGATATAGTAGGGAGGGCCTTGGACCTTCCCCAAAGCAAAGTGTTTTACCCTCTCTGAGGAGTGGAAGGTGGGTGGAGGTGGGGGATTAAGTAGAAGGAATGGGAGGATGGGAAGGAATGGGAACTGGGATTGTTATGTAAATTGAAAAAAAGATAGTTTGTTTTCTTAAAAAAAAAATTAAAGAAAAAAATAATACCAAGTACCCATTAAAATACTAACTAATAAAAAAAAGAGAGAGAGAAAGAAAACAAACACCCTGGCTGTCAATTCACACTTAAGAAAACTCAAGGAAAAGTAATAGTTATTGAAAAATAACTTCTACATTATATATAAAGTGATCATTTAGGAAAGGCAGGTTTTTTTAAGTTTACAAAATAAGGGAAGATTTATTAAGCAAAATGAACAAAGTAGTAATTTCGTGCCTTACGTAACACGAATCTCTCTCTTTACATACTAAATTTAAAATGAACAAAGTTCTCTATCTAATTTCAGGTTTTCTCTGTAGAAAATTAAAGAAATTGTATCATAAAACACTCTCAGCATAGTCGATAGTGATTGTGCTCTAAATCTGGAGACCGGAGTATGCTTAAAGGCTTCCAAAGAGCCAGGAATATTATACTTTTGTCAAAGGACAAAATATGAACAGTATTGATGGATTAAACTAACACTCTCTAAATCCTGCTTCAGAAACTTAATAAAGTGACAATATTTAACTTTCACAAAGAACAAATTTATACAAGCTGTTTGCTTGTGTACTTTCAGGCTCACCATGTAACCGCAGCTGGCCTGGAACTCAATATGAAGACCAGGCTGTCCTCAAACTCACACGCAGATCTGTCTGCATACCCACCAAGTTCTAGGATTAAAGGCATGTGCCGAGATTCCCAGCTTCAATGTACAGTTTTTACAGAAGAAGAAAGCAGGTCTGAAGTCAGGAATTCTGACTCCCCCATAGGACAGCCATACTGACACTCAAAAGGATGCTAAAATTTAGGCTTCCATGCTTTCTTTAAAAAAAAGCTGCTTCAAACTAGAACAAGATATGGCTTGTCTATGGCATGCAATAATGTTTTCTTTATTACTGTATTATAAAAGCACCAAGAGTGTCTACAAGTTAAAGAGTTGACTTCAAAAAGTACTTACTGAGTTGAGTGAATGGATGAATGAATAACATTATTATCTATTACTAGTGGTTATCTTTACAAGATTAAATGAAAAGTATTTTTTAGTAGAACTATATAATCAAAGGTGAGACTCTAAAGAATTAAGATATAATCTAATTTTTCAGTAACATAACCCAATATATTTAAACAATCTATGTAAAAGCTCACAGAAGTTATCCATATGCAAAGTTTTCTATATTAAATAGGTCAATTTCATTGTCATCTAGACTCAATCATAAAATAAAAGAATTGTGAGGAACAGAAAAAATTATCTAATCTATCCCAAACCACATTTTACATATAAGATTACTACTTCTTCATTTTAAAGCTTGAACTTCACGATGTTAATATATATATATATATATATATATATATATATATATATATATAATATATATACATGCAGTAACAATTAGAAAAAAGAAGGCCATAAATTTAAAAGAGGGAAGGGTCTGTGTATATTGGAGTGTTTGGAGGAAGTAAAAGGAAGGAAGCAAAGTAGATGATAAACTCACAAAAATCACAGAAGTTCTATTTAGGATTTGAGTCTAAGAAAAATCCCAAACTTTTCTACTTTTCTTTCTTTCTTCTTTTTTCTTTTCTTTCTTTCTCCTTTTTTTTTGTTTTTTTTTTTTGTTTTTTTTTTTGTTTTTGGTTTGTTTTTGAGACAGAATTTCTTTGTGTAGGGCTGTTTGTCCTAGAACTAGCTCTCTAGATTCGGATGGCCTTGAACTCACAAAGATCTGTCTGTCTCTGCCTCTATAGTGCTAGGATTAAAGGCATGAGTCACCATCATCCAACTTAAACCTTTTTAATTCCAAAAGAAAAGGCTACAAAATTTCCTAGTCTTCTAATAAAGAGGAATCAAGCAGTATTAAAAAGCAGGAATGACTTTAGGAATGTAGAGAAAAAAAACATTTTGTGTAGAAATAAGGGCTGAAGAGATGGCTCAGTGGTAAGAGCAGCACTGGCTGCTGTTCCAGATGGTGGGGTTCCATCTCTAGCACCTCCACACAATTAATTCCAGCTCCAGAGATCTAATGCTCTCTTCCTATACAGGCACCAGGAATGCAGGTGGTGCACAAACATATATGCAGGCAAGACACTCATTAAAATATAAAATTAAGTAAGCAATTCAATGAAAAACAGTTTCAAAGAATCAAACAATACTTTAAGGGTTAAGGAATGCCTATCACAATGTGAAACACACTCATTTATATAACACAAAGAGAAACATCTAGGTGAAATGAGATAAGGTAAAAGAGAAAGAACTCTCCCTGTCATCATGTTAAAAACAGACCGGAAACCACCATATTCATCGTTAACATTCATTTTACATTGTAAAAACTACTGCTACAGCGGGGTAAGGCAACCTACAGCCAGTGAACTGTCAGCACCAACACGGGAGCACCTTTAACCTACAAGAAAAGTTTTCTCCTGGACTGAAAACCATTGTACATGAAAAAGCATTTTATTTGGAATAAACATTTTTAAAAAATTGACTTACTGGTATAGAGATTTTTTGCAAATTGCAGTCCTTTTCCAGGAGCTCATAAACATATTTTGTGATTATCTAAGGGAAAAAAATAAAATATTAAGATACAATATCATCCACTATCAAGATAGATTTGTTTAGAAAAATTATTGAAAGTTATTTTGCTCTAAGTAATTATCTTTTTGGATTTCCTCCTTCTAATGTTCTTACATCACATTACATCTTTCTAAGTAGTGAAATGTGTTACCTTCTCCTGCTTTGTGGATGGCTACTGAGGATTTGAACAAGGTTTAAAAATTCACAGGAAATACCTAAGACTTTCTCCTTTGGAAATGAGTATTCTGAATATTTTAAGTGATTTTAGAAACTGTTCTTCCTACAATTTCTCCATACATCTTATATCTACTGTTAATTTCTTAAGGGATTAGAATCTACACACCAGTTTCAGCAAGAAAGGAAAGTATGTAAGAAGCATTATGAGCAGAAAAGGGAAACCAGTCCAGCCATGGCAAGTGCAGTCAATACTGTGTTTATGAGAGTCAAGAAACACAGTCTCCTCAAAGATGTCTACAACCCAACTCCTGAACAAATGTGTGTTAGGTTTCATGGTAACAGACCTGCACACGTGATTGTTGTTATGGACCTTGAGGAAAGAGCTGGTGGTACTAACGAGATAGGTCAAATCAACCATTTGTGTTCTTACAGAGGAGAGTTACACAAGTATGATGTGGTGCAGAGATGGCAGGCAGGAAGGACTCAACTAGCTTTACTGGGTTTAGAACTTAAAAAGAGCACAGGCACAGAGCTATGTCCTCTGAGCACCTGTAGCTGGCAGCCAATACAAACATGAGAGTTTAGTGTGATCTATGCAAGGAACTGAATTCAGCCAATAACACAAAAAAACCAGGACATCAATTCTTTGTAGCCTAAAATTGATTATTCTAACCTTTATTTTACTCTGGCATCTTGTACTGGACTTTTGATACATAGAATTACATGATAATAAATCTGTACTGCTTCTAGTCACAAAACTAATGGTAATTTGATAGAGCAGCAATATAAAATATATGACTTAAGATAGGTAGGCCTGGAATAGGAGCAAATATTTAACAGGCAGTTTGAATGGTCATTCTAAGAGTGTTTCTCCTCCCAAAGACATCTGTAGTTACCTATAGGCAAAACATCTCACATACTAATTTCAGTGATAACCTGTGTCAAATATTGTGAAATAAGATGAGTTTTAAAAATAACATTAAGATGTCAATTGCTTTGGTGTCACAATCAGTAATCTAAGATAGATTCTTTACCCTGCTTTCCTTAAGGAATTTAAAACTCTTTTATGTACATACATTCATTTATTACAGAAATAGTTCCATAGGTATATGTGAAAAATGACTGGCAACAATCATTTCAAAACATATAACACATTAAATGATCTAGTGATTAGTCTAATAATATCTCTATACATTAATGTGGTAGCTAATACTATGTCCTTATAATTTCACTGGAAGACAGTGGCAATATACACTCTAAAGAATACAAAAACATGTAAATTCAAGTCTGGCAGTGGTGGGGCATGCCTTTAATCCCAGCTTTCGGGAGGCAGAGGTAGGTGGATCTCTGTGAGTTCAAAGCCAACCTGGTTTACAAGAGCTAGTTCTAGAACAGCTAGGGCTGTGACACAGAGAAACCCTGTCTTGAAAACAAAACAAAATAAAACAAAACAAAAAGAAAATATGTAAATTAAGACTTAAAAGCTTATATGAAGCAACATAACAAGAGTGGCCTATAACTTCAAGAGAAATGACTTAAATAAGATTTGCTAAAATGACTGATTTGACACGCTTGACATCTTTACTGTAGCTTTATAAATAAGGGAACAACAAAATAAATTAAATTCACATGCAAATATTTGAAACATAATTTGAGAAAAAAATAAGATTTTTTAAAAAATTAAAACATATCAATATATACTATAGAACCAGAAATAATTCTTTATATTCACATTATAATTCAAATATTCTAAATTTGCTTACATTTGGCCTATAGGACAGGTGTCTCCTGTGCAATTTATTCTATAACAAACCAAACAATAAAATAATTTATTCACTAAAAGAGAAATACTCCCTGTGTTGGACAGTATTGGTTGCCAGCTTGACTCCATGTGGAATCAGCTAAAATCTAAGCTGCTGGAAACCTCTATGAGAGATTTGCTCCATCAGATGAAGCAGGAAGACCCATCTGTGACTGCCCCACTGAAAAAGGTACCAAGCCATGTGGCTAACATATACTAGAATAATGGGCTAATATAAGTTATAAGAGTTAATAAGAAGCCTTAGCTAATGGGCCAATCAGTCGATAACTTATGTAGAGTTCTATGTGATTCTTTGGGACTAAACAGCTGTGGGAACTGGGCAGGACAGAAACCCCAACAAGCAGGCACTCATGTTATACCCATCTTAAACAGGGACCATACTCTCTGGCAGCCCACATAAAAGGATGTGGAATTACAAAACTGCTTTCTGCCTTCTTTCCCTAATTCTTGCTAGCACATTTGTCTATCCTGTTGCTGGGGTCAAGAGTAAATACACCTTCTTGATGATTATGCCATAGACTGAAGATTACCAGCTCTCCAGGAGTCCTCTATAATTCCAGCACCTGGTTGGAACTGCTGAGACATCTACCAATGAGAACTGAACACCCATCCAATTCTCTGCTGTTGCTGAACTACCTAGACCACATCTTATAAGCCAGTCCAATAAACCCTACTTTAAATTCAAATTTATTCTATCAGTTCTAATCCTCTAGAAGCCCCTAATACACTACCTAACTTGCCCACTCTTCTTTGCTCACCACTTCTTATCTACAAAACAAAGAAGGAAGAATAGACTGAAACCATCTATGCCCAAGGTAGCTGTGCTGAGAATACTGTCCTTTACCCTAGTTGCCCTCTTAGAGATAGACTACATGGCAACTGTTTAAGGACAGTTTCCCAGCAAATGCCCTTTGGACATGACGGAGTACCATTATGTCACATACTAGTCTGATATCATTCCTATGGGTTACATCAGTCAGTTCTGGAACACTTGATGGGGCTTCAGCTCTCTTTGACTATTAAGTGTATTTTAAGAAGGGAAAGTGTTGTAGAGTATTATTTTAAGGTGTGTTGCTTTTGTGTACGCTCTGGAACACTTGTTTAATGATGCAAAGGTGTGTCTGATTAAATAAAATTCACCTGTGGTCAGGAGGCTGTAGTGATGAGGCGAGCAGGCCTGCTTTTTGTCCCGCCTGGCTCCTGCACGGCTAGCTTTACACCCGAAATAACAACACACAAATTGTATTCATTTAAACACTGCCTAGCTCGTTAGCTCTAGCCTCTTACTGGCTAACTCTCACATCCTGATTAACCCACTTCTATTAATAACAAACCCACCAGGTAAAAGCTATCCTATGGGCCTTTTCTTACAGGAAAGATTGGCAGTAGTCACATAGTTAACAAAGTTATGGAATCTGAACTCAACGTAATCTGCCCTGTAATCTGTGTTCTGTTATCTAAATTTCTATAATATATTTCCTCCCAATACATAGGGGGAAAAAAGAAGCAATGGGACATAACACTGAAAAGAAAAAGTACTATTAACCTAATAGTAGAAGACAAGAACAAAAGGAAAAACAGTGAAAGCAGTCTATCTCTGTGCCAAGGAAAAAAATGAGAGTGACTGTGTTGGCTTTAAATTGAGGCTTTTATCCCCCTTTCAGTGATCTTGTATTATGAAAATAAGAATAATGAGACTCAGAGACATCTTTTCCTTCTAGAACACAAAATATTCATAACTCAGCAACTTTTTTGCTGTGCTCAAACACCATAATGAAGGTGATTTTAAAACATGTTTAATTTGCCTTCCAGTTTCAGAGAGTCGGAGTGCATGATTACAGAAGGAAGGAGCAGCTGAAAGCGCATGTCTTCATCTAAAACCATTAGGCAGAGAAAAAAAGCACTGGGAATCACAAAAGTCTTTAGAAGTCTGAAAGCCCAACCCTAGTAACAAACTTCAAACAGCAAGGCCAAGCCTCCTTATACTTCCCAAACAATTCCAATAGCTGGGGACCATGCATTCAAATATATGAGACTATGGGAGCCATTCTCATTCAAACCACAATAACTAATACAATTCAATGCATTTCCAAATATATCCATTCTAGAAGAAATCTAGCAGGAAAGATAACTTCTATTTTGGAAACTCATATAAGAAACAGGAACAGCTCTCCAATCACTATCACATTTAAATAGAAATTTCCAGTCTCCATCAAGTTCTCTTAGACACTGAATGACCTCTTCTGCCCCCAAAGTATATCTTCTTTGAAGTATTAGTGAGAACACTATGAGAATCTACTTGAATTTGTTCATGAGCACCCATAACAGGAGGCTTATAATCACCTGTCAACTCTGGATTCAGTGGTTCTAATATCCTCTTCTGAGCTCAAAAAGCATGTGTGTGTGTGCACACGAACACACATAAATAAATCTTAAAAATAAAGATCATCTACTTGACCTCTTCCCTCACCACAGATTCTCATTTTTATAATGTACACTACTGTAATTTGCTAAAGGGAAAATACTTTTCTAAAGTTATGTGTTCCTGTTTCACTAATCTTTGCAAATGATATGTGGACAGTATTTCTCATTCATAAAATAAAAAGTTATTACCTTCTATGGCATTATCAGAGATAAATATCTTATTTGTAAGAAAAACAAAAACTCTTCCTAAACACATACCTTGTCTTCTACTGATTACAGCATGTATTAAGGTATGAATCAAGGTGAAACCCAATTCTTCCTACCTGCCAGACATTTGGTTCAGCTGACAAGTACTTGTTAGCAGATGATGTCAAATGTTAAGTCAGACACTAGTGATCAAAAAAGGGAAAAGTATCTGTTCTTAGAAAACAGATAAATCAAAGTAAACAAACAAATACAAGAGTACCTTAGTTCAAAGGGGTTTATATTTCATTAACCCTTTTATCCCAAGCTTATGAGAACCCATAGGATCTGCTAACTTTAACTTTCCAGTTGCCCA